GGAGTGTGTGATTGAGAGTTAGCCCCAGTGTCAGGAGGAGCTGGGTTGGGTTTGGGCTTCTGGGGGGGGGGGGGGGGGGGCGGGGGGAACGACGACTCCCTCCAGCAATGCAGCTGGGCACCTGCTCTGCTGCTTTATAGTTGCTTGAGGGTACAGAACATTGTTAGGTGCCCAGCCAGTTTGGATCAGAATCAGAAAGTGAACTCAGGTCTTCCTGACACTGGGGCTAACTTTCAATCAAACACTGAGTCCCTAATTTGTTAAATGTCCTCAATGTTTCAGGCACTTCGGTTACAAGTACAAAGAATGAAGTGATCACTGCTAGAAATGAGCTTCTGTTCTCATGCTTCTCACACGGGAACCTCTTAATGTCTGTTCCATTAACTTATCTTGTCTTGCCTCTCACTTTGTGGAGGAAGAAAGAGGTGACCCAGCCAGTGCAGAGAAATAGAATATGAACCCAGAGCTTCTGACTTCCCTAGACCAAAATCGTCTGTCAACTTCCTCCTTTCCTTAACTTGACTGAACTCTTCTAGAACTATGTAATCTTCATGTTCAAACCCTGGCTCTGCCATTTTACTAGCTACACTTAACTTCTCACGTTTCAGTTCCTTATCTTTAGAATGAAGGGATTGGAACAGAGGGCCTCTAAGACCCCCTCCCATCTCTTAATCTTTGATCCTATGACTCCCTTTGAATATTCAGTTGAGTTGATCATTCTCTATGGGTGCCAGCCTCAGAGTGTGGGAAGAACTTAGGAGAAAAAACAAACCTTGGCATTCAATGCCCTTCACATTTTAACTCCTACCTTTCCAGAATAATTTCATTTCAAAACCTCTACGTTTTGGCCACACGAGTTTTGTAGACATTTCTCTGACTCGCTGCTCTAACTCCTGCCTTCGGTCCTGCCTAGAATAAGCTCCCTTCTCACCTCAGCCTTTAGAATTGTTTAAGGCTCCACTGGCAGAAAGCCTCTCCTGCCTGATTCCATCCCTTAACTTCGGCCAAGTGTTAGTGCTTTCTTCCCCTCAAAATGTACTTTAAGCTACGAGCTAGACAGCTAGATGGCTCAGTTGATAGAGTACTAGACCTGGAGTCAGGAAGACTTATATTTCAATCCAGCCTCAGACACTTAAATTAGCTCTTCAACCCTAGGCAAGTCACTTAACGTCTGTTTGCCTCAGTTTCCTCAACTATAAAATGGGGATAACACTTGCCCCCCAAGGTTGTTGTGAGGATCAAATGAGATATTTGCATATAGATACTAGTTATTGATTATAATTATTATTATTAATCATAGGATCATAGAATTAGAGCTGGAAGGGACCTCAGAGGTCAGGTCCAAACCTCTTATTTTACAGTTCAGGCACCTGAGGCCCAGGGAATTGAAGTGACGTGCCCAAGGTCACATAGGTAGAAAATGTCAGAAGCAGAATTGAAATCCAGATTCTGTGACTGAAGAGGCAATGAAAAATACGAAGTCTTTGAGGAAAAGAATAGTATTGTATGTCTTCTATCTTCAGCTCCTGGATTGGATTGATTAATAAGGTGTTTTGGTTGTTGAATTGAATTAATAGTAGGCTTTAATTGTGCTGTGTAAGGTCCCTTAAAATTTCAACTTTCATGAAACTCAGGACGAGATCATAGCATCACAAATTTAAAGATAAAAGGGACCTTAGAGGTGATGTCAAATAATCTTATTTTTACAAACAAAAAAACAGGCAAAAGGACATGAGTTGGATGGTTTAAGGTCACTCAGCATTAAATGTCACCGTCAGCATTTGAATCTAGGTCCTTAGAAGTCAAATCCAGTATGTCTTTCCCACTGTCGCACCTTCCCAAGCTTTAGATCCTATGAGGAGGGATCTGAACCCAGGTCTTTCCTAATTCCTAGCCCAATACCCTTTCCCCAACATCATATTGTCTCTCTCATTATTAGCAGAAGCTGCCAGGACACAGGAACTCAATGGCCACAGCTCAGATGCTATTTTGAAGCAATGGTCTCATATAGCCAGACTCAGAGTAATCCCTTCTGCAGCAGGCACTGTCAGTAATCACAATGACCATTTTCCTCTATTAGCCATCACTAATGAGAGAAGGGGGCAGTTAGGTGGTGATATAGTGCACAGAGCACAGAGCCAGTAGTCAGGAAGACTCATCTTCCTGAGTTCAAATACAGCCTCAGACACTTCCTAGCTGTGTGACTCTGGGCAAATCACTTAACCCTGTTTGCCTCAGTTTCCTCATCTGTAAGATGAGCCGGAGAAGGAAATGGTGAACCACTCCAGTCTCTCTGCCAAGAAAACCCTAAATGGAGTTACAAAGAGCTGGGCACAAGTGAAAGGACTAAAAATAACATCGACTCTCTGCCATTCACTGGACCTTAATCATTAGTTGCTGGCGTTTGAGGTATTACATTTTTCGGTGCATACGTCTTATCTCACAAACAAGATTGCAAGCTTCTTGAGGTCAGGGACCATGATAAAGAATCACAGCTCTGGAGCTGGAAGGGACCTCTGAGGATGGACATATAGCCTAACCCTTTCATTTTACAATTGAGGAAACCAAGGCCAAGAAGTTTAAGTGACTTGACCAAGGTCACAGAGCATAAGAGTCAGAGGCAGGATTGGAACCCAGGTCCTCTTAAAGCCAGTGCTCTTTCCACTACACCTTGCTGCCTCCCCTAAATCACATGTCCAGCATTTTTATAGTATTAAAAGTTTGCTATTGAAATCTGCAATTGACCATGTAATAGTGACTACAAAACAAAAAAACCTTTCAAATCTCTGTGGGTCTCAGTTTCCCTTTCTATAAAATTAGATTTTTCTCTGATGTCTCTTCCATCTCTGACATTCGGTGATTTGAAATTCAAACTGTGGGCACACAGCCCTCCTTTTTGGCCACATTTCACAGGAATTCCCCATAGTTCATAAGCTGCTGTTAACAGAAGTTGATCTGTTCTCAGACCAAATGGGCCATTTGGCACTGTGTGTGTGTGTGTGTGTGTGTGTGTGTGTGTGTGTGTGTGAGTGTAGGTGCGGGTGAGGATGTATGTCAAGAGGAGAGGAAAATGTTCATTGAATGAAAATCAATTAAGTAAAGTTTTAAAAAAAATCTCTAAAGAAAAGGTAGCCTGATGATTTTTAGGTGGCAAGCAAATCTATAATAATGAAATTGGTTTATAATTATAAT